AGAATTAAAAAAAATGAAATTTTAATTGGCAACTAATAATTTCTTTTTGCATTAGACAAAAAAAACTGGCACACAAACTGGAACTATATACTAAACATACAAATTCACACCTAAATGCTAATTCCAGCAGTAAATGAACAAATAAAGTTTGAAAGACAGCCAAAAACGTTTGAACACTAGAAGCCATTGTCAGGAAAAATGCATAAAACAGAAAAAACAGTTCTATCTTTTGAAAAGTTTTAGCTTTTGAATATAGCTACGTTCTAATTTTTCAACATTTAAACACTTTGTATTCAAAGTGTTTGAATGTTTGAGGGCCTCTGAAAGATGGCCAAAAATATTTGAACATTAAAGTTTATTTGTTCATTTACTGCTGGAATTAGCATTTAGGTGTGAATTTGTGTGTTTCTTTTTGCATTCTTAATTTGTTTGATAGCCATGAATTCAATGCTTTCTATAAAATTATTATTATAATATTTGCTAAATAAATACAGTTTTATTTTATATTACATAATATATAAGAATAATAGCATCCATGTAATCATTATTTTTGTGAAAATTTTTGTTCATGAAATTAATTTTACAAAGACAATATGAATCATGAAAAAAATAACTGTAAAATGATGATAAAATAGTAATTAGCAATTAGTATTTGCAAGTAAGAATTTCTTGTAAATTAATGGGAAAAATAAATATTTTTTAAGGTATTATTATTAACTTATTTAGAGAAGACATAATTATGTTTAAATCTCTTTAAATTGCAATAAAAATTCAGACTAGAAGTTTCCAATAATTACTTTAGAAAAATTACTTTTATATTCTTTTCAAAAGAAACAATGGTTTCTGAAATAAAGGATTTTAATTAAGTTAATGAAAAGTTAATTTATTTAGTTTTTGAAAATTATCTGTGTATGCCAATTTATCAATTATAATTTGTGACAAATTTCTTTAAAATGTATTTCTAAATGTAGATGCATTGATGGTAGATTATAATGATGCATTTTAACATAAAAATTGAATTATTAAAAGTTAATTCTCTTTTAATTTGCAACATAATTATAAATTAACTACCAAAAGAATGTCTTAACTTAATCCTCAAATTGAAGTTATTATCATTATAAAACATATTAAAATTATATAAAATAGGTTTATAAAACATTAATGAAAGACTTGTCCTGTATAGCAGTAACAAATAATACTGATTTATACAGTACAAAGCATAATAAAACATACATACTTTAAAATGTGAATATAAAATGTTAATTTAAAGAAAATATAAAGTTTCTCTATAAAACAATTTAAAAATTTTTCTAAAAAAATCTTGAATATAGAAAAATAATTAATTTTAATATATATAAATTTTTGCAAGCTACAAACAAAATATACATATACCAGTATATAATTGAAATCAATAATTAATAAATGATCTAATCACAAACACAAAATATTGATTATTATTCAATAATAAAATATATTATATAGATGCAATTCTCTAAAATTTGGACTCTCAATAATCCAAACTACCAAAACTTCCAACATCAACTCCTGTAATGGCAATCACAATCACATATTTCAGAAAATTATCACAAATATCCTATTCAATACATTCAGTTTAAGGTTATGTTAAAAATTATATATATTATACATATAATTGAACACCTTTGCTATAATTAGTTAACTGTTGTTATTAAACTTGTTTATGTATAACTTGTTGTTCTATGGAATAAATAAAACTACTAATCTGAATGGATAAATTATTTTACATCTATGCAAGCAATTACTCCATAAGATGTCTGGATTTTTGAAAGTTGAATGAACTGTATACAACATATAATTGCATGTTATATTAAATGGAATGAAAAAAAGCAATGAGATATGTAATTTTTACATATGAAAAATAAAGAATATCTTAAATTATTTAATTATCTATGTGAAACTAGAAAATCTGATACTATATTCTTGGCAATAAATAACTATGGTATTGAAAAATATAAAAACATTACTATTGCTGTCGAAAGCACAAATAGAAGAAATATATACAGAATGACTTTTTCATGTCTTTCCTGCTTTAAGGATGCAATATTTGAGAGATGCTCATAAAATTCTTCTTCAGATTTTTCTCCTTCTGGAGATGTGTTGTACCCACAAAACCAATTATAAAATCTTTTCAGTTTTGATATTCTTTCCTTTGGATATTCTTTTTCTTCTTTGCTTTCTAAATTAAATATTTTAGATATTTTAAAATTTTTAAATTAAACTTGAACTATGATATACAAATCCTAAGATAACATTTTAGAAATAAGTGTAATAATATTAATAGATATGACTAACTGGTAGTTGAAACTGATGATTTTGTATTTATCGATAAAATAAAACTATTTAAACAATTTTAAAAAATTGAGGATAAATTATATTAGTATGTATAAATGGTGAAAGACAAAATTAGTAGAATTAAATCTAATAAAAATCAGAGTAATTACATTAATAAGAAATAAGATCTGAAATGAGAGTTATTTTTATAGTGTTATTAATAAGCTGCTAAATTCTGAAAATTACTATACTTTTAGGTTGATAACTATAAATTTATAGCTCATATATTGCCATGAGTTAATTAAAATTGAAAGAAAACTTTCATATAACTTGTACTGTACTTCTGAAATAATTTTGCAGTTTAGAAGATATCTCAAAATTCTTTTTTTTCTTTTTGAAAATTCCATTCACTCTCTTTAGCAGTTCACTTTATAATTACATTTATAATAAAATGGAAAAAAACAGAATAATTGAGATGGAGCCTCAAACTGTCAAAATTATGTTGATATTAATTTCTAACCAATAAAGACTGAAAACTATTAAAAAGAAATAGATGAGATGCTCAAGCAAGATCAAAAAAATTTTAAATACATTTCATTAAAATTGAATTAATTTAAATATGATAAATGCTTCATTACACACAGGATTTTTCAGATGTTTTAAAGATGTCCTTGTGACTTTGGACAAAAGTTAAATTTGTTTAAATTGTACATAAATGATTGTTTCAAGTATTCTGATTTGGTAGCAGATGATTATGACACAAAATGAAATATAATAAATTGGCATCTTTACTACAAATTTTAAGTTAATAATTACCATCGGCTATTTTATGTTTTAGTTCTTCAGCTCTTTTCATTTCCATATTTTCTTTATCATCAAAACGATCTTGCGTATTATATCTTGTCCAAAATGTTGTTCTTATTAGCTGATATTAAAAAAATTATCTGCTCTTAATGGATTATACTTATTAAATAAGAGTTAATTATTCATATAGAATTAAACTTACTCTGAATGATTCTGGTGGTTCAGACATATAACTTATGACCATTGAAATAATACCTGTTAACCAAAATAAAAGCATTGCAAAGTACATATAATGTACTTTATATAATATAAATGGACGAGTTTCTGGTTTTCCGCAGGGAGGTTCAGGATAAACAAAATCCAATATCATCCGAGTAACTCCTACCATAAATCCCAACAATAATGCCCAAAATGCAGCCTAATATTAAAAAACAATTCAAAATTTTATATAAACTTTTAATAATACAACATTAAAATAACTTTTAAAAATTATTTCACATTTCAATTATTAAAACTTATTTACANACACAAGAAGTATTCTTTAAATATTATAATTGTTAATTTCTGATTACATAATTTATGTATTCCTCAAAGACCAAAATAAGTAAAAAATAACTACATTTTTTTAAACTGAAAATTCTTACAATTAATTAAAAACAAAAATTCTTAATTATTACACAAATTATATACAAAATATTTGCTAATGTTTATGTAATTTGAAAACTAAAATTGATTGCTATAAAAGAAAAAAAAAAGTGATTTTACAGACAAAAACCCCACATCAGCAGTGGACAAGATTTTATATATTTATTCTTAAGATTATTCATGGAAGTTCCCATTCATTTAGTAGTAATTCTTTCTGTCTATAACTGACAATTTATATCTGAGACAGACATTTTGATTGGATTATTTTTAGAGTGATTTTGTGAATCTCCTTCAGTCAAATATTCTTTAAATATATTTAAAGTAATGCAAAACATTGTTATAAATCTATACCAATTGTACTTTTAAATAATATCAATACATATTTTTTTAAAATTAAGTTATGATTCACATACAGAAATATATACTGCTGAATATAAATATGTCCAGTTTGATCTTTTCTGAATTAACATTGTGAAAAAGCCAATAATAAAATTACATCATTTAAATAGAATACAGTGGACATGTCCACAAAATCTTGTATGACATGATACAAGTTTGTAAATAATAGGAAAGTTATGTCCATATTAATGAATTACAGAATTTTTACTGTTTTAAATGATCTCTTAGCAAATGAATGGAAGAAAAATCATGAATATGATTAATACAGCATAAAGTGTTTAAAACTGTGATTTATAAAATTAATAAATTCAAAAAATTATAACTGAATAAGTTCTAATTTTCAGTAAGATTTATGAGAATTCAGTTCTCATTAATCTTACTGAAAGTCATCCTGCATAACTAGTGTTATTGATATATAAACTTAAGCAAACAGTTTAATTCAGAGTATTCTGAACTAAAACAAATTATCTAAAGATGATAATAATTTTAATATTTGTAAGATAATTTTAGTTTATTGATTTCAAAAACTAACAAAAGTCAAGTAATATTCAGAATAATATTTTTGACATATTGCTAATGATGAATGTGACAATATAAAAAATATGGTATTGATTCACTTTTTAATAGAAAACTGAAAAAAATTTAATTTTATAATATTCTATTACATTATTAAAACTATTCAATAATTTTAAAGTTTAAAAATTCTAATACTACTAATATATTATTATTTACTGTGATAAAATAATAAACAACTTTATTATTCAATTTTAAGAATGACTGTTCTATAGTTATTGAAATAAAAAAATTTGAAGACTATAGCTGCTCTATTTTATAAGCCAGACATATATTGTATGTATATACATATACTGTACACACACACATGCATGTACATACTCTTGAACAAAACATTTTAATACAATAATATGGCTTGACTAACTGTAAAATCTAGAGTACGTATTAAATATTATTCAATTATTTTATATTTCTTTAGTATTCAAAACAGATTGTATTCCCTGGTTTCTAACAAAAATATACATATGAATTTTACTTCATCTTTATAAAAAGTTTACTTTAGGAAATAAAATATATAATTCTATAGAAAATTATTTTATACAGATATCCCAATTAATCATTAACTGTAGATAATAATTTAACAACCTATTTTTAAATTTAAATTAGTCATATTATACATTCTAAAGAAATCTTATTTATAAATTTACCATTTCAATATCAAAATTTCATTTCTTAAATATAGTGTTTTCTTATATCATCAAATTCAGTTAATTGATTTAACACATTCCAGAAAAATAATTTATATTTTAAGATTTACAATACAAATTCTTTTCCTAGATAATTATCATAGTTACATGATATGTTTCTTAAAGATTTTAGATATTTTCAGTTTATAAATAACTTCACAATGATGATTAAAATGTAGCATTATATAATAGTAAATAATAAATTTAAAGTTAAGTTGTATAATAGATTTTTTTTTTCACTGATTACACTAGAAACAAAGTAACTGCACTGATATGCTTGTTGAAAACAGATCTTGTAAGTTATTCTAACTTTAATTTATTTTTGGTCATCATAATTTAAATTTCAGATATTTGGTTTAATTATCTGTTAAAATACATTAGAATAACCTTTAATGTATTGGAAATTAGAGAGTTTACTGTTTTGTAAATATTATATTATCACTCAAGAACTATCATTAAACCAATAGTGAGAAATGCAAACTGGCTTTACAGTCCAATGTTATTAGACTTTAAAAGTACAATTTAAAAATATTTTATAATCTGTTAATAAATGTATGCTTTTTATAATTTCTATATGTACATAATTTGTGTAATTATTAAGAATACAAACAAAAGTATATATATATAATAATTATTCTGGATACTTACATTTAAAAGAAAATTTGTCATTGTAGCAAAATAGTAAACATATAAAAATTGCAAATAAACTGAAAATAATTGCATCTTTAAAAGTCTATCATAGCTTGATCAATTTTTAAAAGCATTTATTAGTAATTAAAATTTATAAAAGAAAGTAAGACTAACTAACATTTACAACATGGCAACTTGATATAAATTTTTTGGGGCATTATAAATACTTTATAATAAATATAAATATTAAAAAATGATCAATTTAATTATTTTGAATAGATTTTTTCAGATGAAACATGTCACAAAATACAATTGAATTTGTAAAAAATTGAGTTTCTCATGAAAACAGTTTTTGATCTTATTAATAAATAATTTTTGAAATATATTAAGTTTTATATTACACTAAAAATATATCTTTTATTTTTTATATTTTGAAGTTATCTGGAAAATGGTAAATTTAACTACTTTAAATTTTACTTTTGAAAAATACATATATTAAAAATTATTTAGTTCATGAAAAAATATTTTTATTGTAAATGGATTAGTTCATCAGTCCCAACTTATTTTAATTGCAGAACCCTTTACATCTTGATAAAATATTTTGAAACTTAACAAGTTTTACCAATTATAAAAAAAAAACAAATCAAAAATAAATAAAATTCAAACTTACAATTAATGTGAAGCAAATATTATAATTTTTTTATTTTGCTATAATAAATAGTAAGAATTAATGTTTGCAGATGATTTTTTTCAGTAGATATGGGTGAGAGCTCTACAAGTAGAATAATGAAATGCATTAGGTTTTTTCATGAATTGTTTAACAAACACTCAATATTGAAATACTGTATTGCTGCTTCCTGGGCAATAGTTTCTCTGAGACTTTAGTAACAAAAAGTTAAATATATATTTGATTTTTTCACTATTAGACTCAATGATTTTATTTTCCACAAATTAAGCTATGCAGAGTCTATGCACAGATCCTCTTTTCCTATGAAATATTAATAAATTTAATTTATTTAAACTTTTCATGCATATTTTAAACTATAAAGCTCAAAAACTAATTTTATTGGTAGAACCATATGAAAAAGGGGGAAAACAAGCACATTATGCAATGATCTTCAAACTCATGATTCAACAACAGATCAGCACTCACAAGGTGGCACTTGGAGTTAACTTGACCTTGAAAACAAGAAATGGGTTTTGGTTAACATACAATGAAGTTGCATAGAACAATAGACATATTTCGTTCATTAATTTCTTTTATATTTGCAGAATAGTCATGAATTTTCTGCTGTGTGACCTCCTTGGGGATTAGGAAAAGGGCAACTGAAATGAAAAGGGGAGACATGTGCCCCAAATGCCTCAATGTATAGGCATCTCTGTAAACATCAATTCCTTTATCTAACAAATTATTGATTTTATTGACATTTCTTATTAAATTTCACAGTTCAATATTTAATTTAACAAATTTGTGTTTCATTAAAATTTAACACTTGAACTTAACATAGCCTAGTAGTATATCATAATGAATGTATGAAAAAATACTATAACCTCACAAATAGTAATATAAAGATATAAAGTAACACAAATTAAAAGCAATAAGTAATTTATCTTTTAAGCCACTATATTATATAGATTTACTTTGATATGTGTTAATGATTGACTGCTAATTTAATAATGGTTACTTTTCTGACAGGATAAAAACCTTTGAACTGAATATAGAACTTATTTTCAGTTAATAAAGCAATTTAAATTTAAACATATTCAAAATTTATAAACTAAAATATATGAAAATTAAACAAAAAAATTACAAAAACACTAGATAGATAAAGTATTTTCATATGTCAACATTTGTTAAACACCTCAGAAACTTAACAGTTCTACAACAAAGTCACCCTTTTATTAGAGGCTACTCATCTGCCTCAAAATGCAAAACTTTTAAAAATTTCCTTTTGGTGATGGCACAAATTCTTGCATGTTGAGGCAGATTGATTAGTTCTAATAAGAGGTTAACTCTGCTATAGAACTGTTAAGTTTCATTTATCTAGTTAGTTTTTTTTTGTTTATTTTATACAAATTGTCATTCTTGCTATTTTTATAATGCATGTGAAATTAATATATCCTTATGCTACTGTTGATATAATTAAATCATTAATTTTAGATTTAAAAATATATAAAATCAAAGAAAAATATAATAACTTAATTTTAATAAATGATCAGGTATTAAACCTTTTTTAACACCTGATCATTTATATCAGAATTATTGCAATAAATTATTTTTTAGTGAATTTCTAATTTATAAATTTTATTTCTTAATTAAAAATACTTTTAGCAAGAGAATTAAAAAAAATGAAATTTTAATTGGCAACTAATAATTTCTTTTTGCATTAGACAAAAAAAACTGGCACACAAACTGGAACTATATACTAAACATACAAATTCACACCTAAATGCTAATTCCAGCAGTAAATGAACAAATAAAGTT